GGGGGCCGAGACGCCAGGCTGGGAGGACAGCGCCCCCTAGCGGAAGGTTAGCTCGAGGTGCCCGTGGGCAGTGTTCTTGCCAGCTGCAGCCAAGCCAGTCACTTCATTGCTCATCTTGCGGCCGCGATCCACGAGCCCCGGGTCCTTTCCCCCCACCTCCAATTTTTCCCGGGGAAGCCTTGAAATGTACATTTGAGAAGACTTTTGCCATCCTCAGGGAAAAGGACTGTGTCAAGAGTGAGCCACCCCGTGTCTAAAGCTAGGAAGCCCCCAGTGTGCCACGGGAAACGCTTGCCTCTCACCCTGTTTCCCAGCGCCAGCCTCCGGGGCAGGCATCCGGGTGGAGAGAGGACTTGTCCCTCGTGGGTGGTGGTTCTTTATAGAAAAAATCGAAGCTTAGCAGCTCCTCGAGGCCCGGTAAGTGCACACCCCGCGAACGGCCCAAGTTTGCCTCCTGGTGGCCACTTTGATGCCGTGGCCCTGACCTAAATCAGAGAGCGGTTATGCTGGGCGGTCGGCGCGCGGCACAGGGCGAGAGCGGTGGCTGGGGAGTGTGGGGCCTTTAAGTGAGGGGGGCCTTTAAGTGAGGGGAGCCCTCGGACGAACTCCGGCATCTTCTCAGGTCCTGGAGAGCCGGAGCAGGGCGTCGGCGGCGGGGGGGCCAGTGCACGGCGCAGGGGGGGCCGGGGCCGGGCACGCGCGGCCCCGGGCGAGCTTGTTGGCTGTCAACAGCCTGGCGGCGGCGGCGGCGGCGGAGGCGGCTCTCACCTGTGTCCACTCAGCTGTCCCTTTTGTTTTCTCTGTTTTCTCCGCAGGGTTTGGTAAAGGCTCCAGTGTGGTGGCCTATGAAGGACAATGCTGGCACGACTACTGCTTCTACTGCAAAAAATGCTCCGTGAATCTGGCCAACAAGCGCTTCGTGTTCCATGAGGAGCAAATCTATTGCCCCGACTGTGCCAAAAAGCTGTAAACTGACAGGGGCTCCTGTCCTGTAAGATGGAATCTGAGTTTGGTCCGTTGTGCCCCTCTGCCCTGCACCATCCTTAGGGCAAGGGTGGCCTCCACCTCCTCCAAGTTGCTCCTCCCATCTTTGTTCCATTTTACAGCATCGCGCAAATAAAGGCACACCATGATCACGTTAGCATTCAGCAAAGGCAACACGGCAGCCAAGTTAGTTTTTTTCCGATCGCTGCAATTAAGCAACCAACGCGTAGCTAGATTGACACTTCTGCATGTTTCCTCATAGAGCAGAAAAGTGCTAACCATGTAGCGGCTTAGTGATGCAGCCCCAGCGACGCAGCCCCTCTGAGAAGCCCTGGGGGCTTAGCTGGGACCCACGAGTTGCAGCGGCTGCGCCAACTCAGCTGCTCACCTTGTTCTGTGAGCAGAAAGAACTTTCGGAAATGCATGGTTTAGCCTCTTCATCAAAACTGTTCTTCTGTTCTTAGGCGCTTGCAAGTGACTAACACAAACTTCCAGAAAATGAACATTTGAACTTAGCTGTTGTTCTCCACTGAATCTTCCCTGTACTAACATTTGATTTCCCCCGGTGGTGTGTTTTCTGAGCGTTCCTGCTTTGCCAAGGAACATGCAGGTGACTTAAGAAGCATAGGCGGAGCTCAGAAAACGAGCCTGTTTCAGAGGCACATCATCAGGGCCGACCTTCTGGAAGCCTAACAAAACTAACCTGTCCCTTTTTCTTTGTTTTGAATTAATATTTTTGTTCTAATTAATAGCAACATAGTTTATGGGTTTGGAGACTTGCATGAAAATATTTTAGTCCCCTCAAACGTTCCTGCAGTTTTAAAATTCACCTACAGAAGTAACCAGTAATCTTCTAGAGGGCTCGCTGGGCAGGCTCCACGGCTGTCATTGACACCGATGTGATATTTCCAGACAGTGCCGACTTGAACCTCTTGTAACATAGTAGTTGTGCGCTCGTTGTCCCTGTGCTAGGGGCCCGCCAAGTCCCTTCTCGTGATTCTTAGGCCTGTTCCTCAAGAGCCTAGCTGGATATCTGGGGAAGTGGGGAAGCCACTGTCCTACTCCCTGTATTCTATGACATTGTTATCTTGCATAGTTTGATGAGATGATACAAAGTAACCTGTAATGACAAGACGTATTAACATTCTCATAGGAGTGGTTAGCCCCGCCCATGCCTCATTTCTCCATTTTGTCATTAGCTATTATCATCTAACGTTTCAGTGTATTGTTACAGAAATAAAGCAGCATATAAATAACTTGCCTCCTGTCTTGTTATTCAGCCCAGTGGAATGGCTAGGTCATACTGCTGGCCCGATGTCTCCTCAGGGACGTCGTCAGTTCAACCTCTTGGAACATAGGAATTAGAAGCAGAACAGGCGCTCACATCCCGTTCAACACCACAAGCAAAAACTCCACTCTGCCCCAAAAGCATCGTGCAGGTGCTCACGCCCCTTGAAAAGGGCAAACACACACTCCTGGGTCGGGGTGCTAGAAGTGAGGGGACCCTGGCTGAAGCGTGTTACTGAGGGAATCACAAAAATCACGGGCCCTAAAATACACAAACTCATGCCATTCGCAGCAACATAAATGGAGCTAGAGGGGATCCTGCTCGGTGAATTAAGTTGGAGGGAGAAAGAAAAATACGGATGGTCTCACAGGAGGAATATAGGGGAACCAAATAAGACATGGGGAGAAAGTAACAGTATAAAACACCACTAAGACAATTGTAAACACCCCCTGAGTGGGGGGGCCGGAAGGAGGGAGGGAGGGAGGAAAGGCCTGCCGTGATGATGGTGCACCAGCAGGCGAATTGGGGGAGGAAGTTCTATGGGGTCTACACCTGTGGGGTGGGAGGGGGCAAGTAAAATTGTTTTAAAATGAACAATGATGCCCTCCGCGTTCAACACACCTTTGTCTTCAGATGCGGGTGAGGCTGGGGGTGCTGTCCTCTGGCCTTCAGGGCATCCTCATGCCCCTGGGGGAGGTGTTTAGTAGGGAGGCTGCTCATCTGGACCCACCCATGCCCCTGAGTCAGGTGCGGAGGTGTGCGTTAGGTGGAGGTGGTAGCTGCTTCTGTCATCGCCAGCCACTGCGGCTGGTGCTTCACTGGCCGACCCTGCCCGCAGGGCCACGGTTGGTGCAGGACTACACTTCTAGTCCAGTGGGACAAGTGTTGGTGCCCTGTCCCTACCACGAAAGGGTCACCAGGCATGCAGGTGCCCAGAAAGCATTTCAGCTGGAGGCAGAGGGAGGAGAGCCTCATGCCCAGGGTAGTGCATGCGGGCGTAGACCTCTTGCTAACACTGACTTTCTGGGGGGCGGTCGAGATTTCAGCAGAAAGCAAAAAGGCAAGAACATGTTTTGTGAATGGGAAACATCCCGTGTGTGTGCGTGTGTGTGCGTGTGTCCGTCCCTTGAGACAGGGCCCCCAAAAGGGCAGGGGTGGCGTGGGTAGTTGAGCTGCCTGGGATACTGAGGCTGTGGTCAGGGAGAGCCCAGAGGGGAAGAACCTGGGGTGGAGAGGGAGCAGCTCCCCTTCACTCAGGGTTTGGGCATCTGCTCATTCCCTTCTCCCCAGCGAGGCCACGCCCACCTCCGCCCACCTCCCACAGTGCCAAGGGCCACGCCCCTGCCCACCAGGTGTTCCTTCTCTTCCGGCTCCAGGCCCAGTTCCTCAGCCCCTTCTGCCACAGCTTCCTGTCTGCCTTCCATTTTGCGCTCAATCATGGCCACCACCCCATTCCACCTCTATCTGTCCCCCTCGGCTTTTCTATCCCAATGGACCCGCCGAATCCAGCCCCTACCAGGGTGGAAGAGCAGGGCCAGGGAAAGCCATGCTGGCATGGCCTGCAGGCACCAGCAGAGCAGCTGCCTCAAATCCTCTGTCTGTTTCCCTGGTGCTAGTTCTAGTTCTCAGAAAACCACCTCCCCTCCTCACCCAGAAACAGGCTGCCAGCGCCGGCTGGCCACTGGAGGCCTGTCCTCCACCCCTTAGCCTCTTGAGCTACTCATCCTCAACCAACACTAACAACTGCGCGAGTGCCTGCACTTCGCACAGGAGAAAGTCTAGAATAGTTGAGGGCTTTGCCTCAGGCCACACAGCTAACTAGGTGACCGAACCACTTCAAGCTCATTTTGAGCCTATGGCCTCTGAGATAAAGCCACTAAGGGGACAATGAGGACACCCTTGCCCTGGGTTCAGTAATTAGAAGCACTTGTGTGGGTGAGTATTTTCTTTTGATACCCTGGGGCTTGGGAGGAAGGAGACATTTCTAGTTACCAACTTTTTTTTTTAAGATCGATTGATTTATGCATACAAAAACTGGGGTGCAGGCCAGAGACAGAGTGGGAGCAGAATAGGCAAATGGACTGAAGTACACTGCTGAGGGGAGCAGCGGGCGAGACAGGACAGGTCTACTGCGCCAGGTGGGTCACCGCCCTGGCCGGGGATTGAGCTGGGGCTGCAGTGGCTGCGAGATAGCTTCATAGTGCTGTGCTTTAGCCAGTTAAGACATCAAGGAGGGCCCTCTAGTTACCAACTTGTAAGCAACGAAAACTTTTGTCATAATTAAGGGGATCAGAATATCAAGAGTATTACCTACCTGTGACTAGGTTCAAATTGTTTTCTTAGTTGGGCCCATAGGCCAGCTTCCTAACCTCTCTGAACTTGTTTCCCAGCCTGTATGTAAAATGCCACTTGGAATTCACATGAAGATTACACAATACAAAAGTTGGGGGGGGGGCGCCGCAGGAGGCAACACAAATGAGTTGTTTTTAGCCATGATCTGGTAGCTGGTACAAAAGACAGAGGTCCCTGGCCGCACGTCACGTGGTACAGTCTGCGGACCCTAAATCCAGACCAACTGGGCTGGGAAGTTGTGTGTGACCTTGGACAATCGCCAGTTTCAGCAAATCCAGGTACAGACACAGACCCACACCTCATCGGCTGGTTGTGAGCATTTCAAGCACCACCTGTGCGGCAGTGCCTGGCACCAGTCACAATTCCTGAGGAAATGACACCACTTGGAAACACGAGCTGGCTTGGGGGGAACATGGCTTTTCTGGGGCCTGCTTCAACCAACCAGGCCTGTGGCGTGTGGGGCCCCAGAATGGGATGGGATACACAGGCAAGTGACCCCTGGACAAGTGTAACAAAGTTGGCTTTTGGGTTCTTGCCACAGTGGGTAGTGATTCCTCAAAATGGAGAGGACCCCAAGACTAGGGTGCAGCCTCTGAACTTGTCCACAGCACTCAGCGGGCTGGCGTGCAGTCGCCTGTGCAAGGGTCGGTCTGCACACAAGCTGCAGTACCACTCTCGGGAGCCGGGACTGTTTCTGTGGCTGCCCTCCTGTGAGGGAAAGGGTGTCCTAAACGAACTCTGCAGGTACAGGGTTTGTGGACTTCTCCCCCACCACAGACCCAGGAACTACAAGTCCCAGCAACACCAAAGGAAAGTGTGCTGGGACCTGAGGGTGGAGCTAAGCAGCAATATTTGGATATGAAGCTGGATATGTGGGTTTTGGGGTTCGGTTCTCTTGGCCTCGTGGCTTGCGGCTTGCCTCTTCACTGGCTTTCAGCATGCTATTGGGGTCCCAGGTCAGTGGAACTGGTAGGACACATAAGCGACTTCTCTTTCCCTGAGTTATACATTTCCCCTTTTGTTTGCAAATAAACCCATTATTAACCTTTCCAGTGTGCCAGCAGTTGAGTCTTTGAATCTTTTAGGATTTATTTATGCATACAAGAACTGGGGTACAGGCCAGAGGTGCAGGGGAGGTGAGAGGCTTCACCAGAGACAGGGTGGGGAGCAGAACACGCAGATCTAGGAAGTACACTGCTGAGGGGAGCAGCGGGCGGGTCAGGAGAGGTCTGCCGCCCCAAGTGGGTCAGCTCCCTGGCCTGGGGATCGAACTCAAGCTGCAGTGGCTGTGAACAGCCTCCCAGCACTGGGATTTAACCCACTGTGCCACCAGGGAAGGCCCTGCAGATGAATCTGAAGCGCACAGGCCCCACAGCCAGGTAACCCAATTCACACTGGGTTGCCCTCTAACAATCCCCAGTTGTGCCGGGTGACACAGGAGTAAAACACGCACGAGAGGCCAGGGAGCTGCTCCTCGGGACACAGGGCCTCCAGATGGAACCCATGAGACCCCAGCCAGGCTCCAGGGTACTGGTTAGGACGAGAGGCTGGGTCACTGTCCACCACCTGGAAGTGTGACAGGGCGTGCATGTGCTGGGGAACAGCCTGGCTCAACAGTGCCAGCCGTCGGTAGGGAAGGCTCTGGCTCAGATGCCAGATGTGAAGGTGGTGCCCTACGCAGACGTCGGATGTATCCAGCTGGTGTGAGTAGGGAGGAGCTACCACCAAACCGGCCCCCAAAGACCAGAGGTGAGTAAGGATTTCGGCTTATTCAAAACAAGACCTGGTGGAGTGGAACTGTTTTTCAAGATTGGAAACATGAAAGTTACCTTGTGGGCAGATCAGAATGTCAGTCTTGTCGTGTAACAGTGATGTCACTGGTAATGTGTATGTCGGCCTCCCTGGTGGCGCAGGGCTAAGTCTCAGCGCTGTCAAGCCATCAGCAGCCACTGCAGCCCTTGGATCCCCGCCAGAGAAGTGACCCACACTGCGCGGCACACCTCCCCTGTCTCCCCACTGCTCCCCTCAGCAGTGTGTTTCAGTGGATCTGCCTGTTGTGTTCCCCGATGTGTCTCTGGTGAACCCACTCACCCCTACCCCCTGCATCTCTGGCCTGCACCCCAGTTCTTGTATGCATAAATAAAAAATCTTTAAAGAATAGGTACAAAACACGTCAACTGCCCAACGCACCCAGACTGTAATAAACAGGGGCGTAACCCTCCTTTCCTTCCAGCTCAGGACTCCTTAAAAGATACAGGGTTTCGGCCCTCCCTGGTGGCGCAGCGGGTTAAAGCACAGCACTAAGAAGCTAAATCCACTTCTGCATGAGTTCGATCCCCACCTGCCCCAGAAGTGATCCACAGGAACCGGCAGACTTCTCCTGACCCGCCCGCTGCTTCCCTCAGCAGTGTACTTTGTCGATCTATCTGTTCTACTCCCCAATCTGCATCTCCATCCTCTCACCCTCCGCATCTCTGGCCTGTACCCCAGTTCTGTATGAATAAATAAATCTTTAAAAAAAAAAAAAGATACAGGGTTTCTTTACAGGGTGATGAAAACATTCCAGAACTAGATAGGAGTGCAGGCTGCCTGCCACTGAGAATGCCACTCAACGGTGACATGTGAATTTTACCCCAGTAAAAAGAAGATACTTCCATCACTAGCCTCAGAGGGACCTCGAGGTATCTCAGAGAAGAGTCCGAGGCTCTGAACTAGACATAGGAAGACAGTTGGGACAACCATGTTGTCATGTCCCACACGCGGAGTTTGCCAAGTAACCAACTAGCTGGGACACCAGAAGCTTTGGTTACCTGCTCCAGAGCGGGCAGGCCACCTGCGTTCATTCGGTGAACAGTTGGTATATCCCTTATTCCACCATCGGTACCTGTTATTTTATTATAATGAAGAGAAAGCCCGCTTTAGCTGCAAAGTTTATTTCAAACAGTACACATTTCTCTGGAGCTTTAACAGTCTTTCAACACATGACATTTGTGCAGATGAAGGGCAGAAACGCATTTGTGAGGACTCTGCCTTCTATAGAAAAGCTAGCATAGGAAACTAGTTTTGAAATCCAAGGCACTGAGCTATAATCTATAACGAAGGACAGTCCTTTGGACAGCAAAGAACTGGGGAGTCACACAGACCTACTTCCTTCTCCTAATGCAACTCCGGGGCTAGAAAAGGACGCAGGACACTTGCGAGTCCCGTCACATTCACTAGCATTAGGACAATGACATTTTGGTCAATATTAAAGTTTAAGCAGAGTCAAAGTGATTTCAGAACACACACCGCGTGTGTCCCTACCCGCCACCAGGACAGAATAAGGCTGCTGCTCCAGCACCCAGCTGCTGTCAGAGGCTACCGAAATCAAGCCTCTTTGGGGTGCAACTCCCAGGGCAGCAGAGGACAAGGACAGGGATACAGTTAACATTTAGTGGAATTAAAAACACCAAGCAACAGTTAACCGACTTCAAGTACAGCAACATGTATGTCAAAGGTGTGAACCACCCAGGGTCACACTTCTCACCCGAGCATCTGGGGGTCCATGGGCTGGCAGACTACAGCAAAATTTGAAATGTCTGGTAGAAGCCCAGGTCCGAGTCAGCCCACAGGGTACCCTGTGACCCATTCCATTCTGCCACCATGGGTGTCAGCGCATGGGAAACAATCCAAAGTCCCCCGGGGCTTCTACCCCAGTCAGCGTCACGCGAGACCAGGATGTGGTTGTCAATGGCGAATGTAATTGTGACACAGAATAAATATTAAGATTTCAAACACAAACAGACATGAAGGTATTCCTTTGGTACAGTCTCTCAGCAACTCAAGAGTTAGCATTTTATAGACACTCTGGTACACACTCACACCTGTGTTGACCAGAAAACCCAAGAATGAGAGAGCAGGAGATTTTTACAAGAAAAAAAGCAGCACCTTTACTCAGAACCCTCATGGGCCAGAGCCAAGATGGAATGAGCATCTGAGACAGGCTGAGTGGCTTCTTCATGTTTCCTTTTTACGCTGACGGTCATGCTCTTTGCCATATTTGAGTCGGAGGTGGAGTAAGTTGGGGAGGTGGCCTGGAAACTGAAGTCCAGAGCGGAGGGGAATCCTCCTCCAGGGCGCCGGGGCTCAGTTTACATATCTGACAGAAGGAAAAGGAACAGATGAGTAGAGCAGACACTGCTCCCACATCCACACAGCCCGGGCAGCCCCTGCCCACCCCCGGTGCTGCTGTGCCGACGCTGTCATCAATGTTCTCCAGGCCCCGAAGGTCCAAGTCGCTTTGCTTTCCAAAGAAGGCTTTTCAAGGAAAGAAAGCAAAGGTTTTTGGGTTTGGGAAACAGGTTGAGGGACCAATTCCAAAGCCCTTACTAACCCTCTGCCCCAAGACAACCTGTGTGCTGTCCAGAGGGATCTGAAGGGTGTGTGGGGTTTGCAAAGAACCTTTGTCAACGAACGGGACAGGAAATGTAGGTGACGCAAATTAGGATCACTATCTGCTCTCTCCAACTAGCTTAATGGATGGCTCTGGGACATCAGCCTTTCGGCCCACCACCATCTGTTCCATCTCCAAAGTCACAAGGTGCCATGAAGGCCCGGGACTGTCAGAAGCAGAGGAAGATTCAAGAGCAATTGCCTTTCCAGCGAAGTGGACATGGATGGGGACTCACCAGGTGGAGCAGAGACGGATTTGTTTTTCTTGACATCTAAAGACACTTCCTTTTGGTGAGACAGTGTAGAACCTTCCAGGTTGTGCTTTTGGCTATGTGGAGGGATAATGGACACACGTGGTTCTGATTCGCTTCCTATGTCAACAATCTTATCATGTACCCAATCCTGTGCCTGTGAATGGAAACTCCTGGAAGGTCCCATGGTCTTACTAGTTTTGTTTGTCTTTCTGGATTTTGCTGTTCGGTTGGTCATTCTTTTGGTGGATGATCTGGAAAGAGATGCTTTGGTTAGAATCCTGACTGTCCCCAAACCAAGACACTGTCCTACAAGTTGCTACATCTGTTAACTTCTAAGAAATGCCTTGGAAGCAAATGAACTTTCAGAATCACAGAATGGAAGGCCCTTGGGGTTGGGGAACACTGGCTTCCTGGTGGCATGCTACAAGCCCTAAGCTTCCAGGGAAAGGCCTGCAGTAGGTCGGTGAGGTGGGGGCCACTGTGGGGTCTACAGCTCTGGTCCCTTCCCACACCTCACTGTACCTCTGGGCAGGTCCCTGGGCAGGTCCCTCCCACAACCGCTGTGCGCCCGCGAACTTCACAGGCCAGGGTCTTTTTTAGGCTGTCACCTGAGGAATCTTCCTTCCCAAGAATCTGTAGTGCACTTCGGACCTAACCTCTGCCCCTCAGTTTCCCCATTTGTTAACTGAGGACATTAACATGGAGCTCAAGAGTTACAATGAGAATTAAAATAGGTGGCGGCATTTGGCAGTGACTCAGCCAATGCCTCTTCCCTGATTCAGGAGGCATTAACCATGAACAAAAGTGCTCGAGTCTGAAGGATCTGGATTTGAATCGGGGGTTACCCTTTAACAGTGGGATGGTGAGGAAATTAGGCCTGTCACCTCTCAAGCCCTCAGCTTCCCTATCTGTAACAGCAGGAATGCTCGCTCTCTCCCAGCAAGGCTTTCCTGGGAAGTTGTTGGTCTCTCTACGTCCAGAGCACGACACAGGTTTCCTAAGATTCTGTTACGAATCCCCTGCGCCATCCTGAGGCCAAGCACCTCCCCATCCAGCCAATGCTGCCAAACCCCGAGCAGCTCACCTGCTGCCCTTTGCTTGAGCCAAAGGGTCTTTCACACTCTTTTGTCTGAAGACTTTCACGTCACCATTTAAACATGCTTGTGTCTCATTGATTTGACTAGAAGTGGCATCTAAAAACACAAGTTTGGGTCCCTTCTTCCTTGCCTTTTTAAAATGTGCTTTGGGCTTTGTGGATAAATGTACACTATTTACAAAGGCTAGAAACAAAAAAGAGAAACAAGGTAAATAAAACGCCAAAGATGAAAACAATCCAAGGCAAGGACCTTGCTGAGCTGGGAGAGGGGTATCTGCCTGCCAGTAGGAAGAGCCCGACAGCACCCCACTGGCTCCACCCTGGAGGCAGGCACTTCCATGTGTTGTGGCCAAGCCACATTTAATGCCACCAGCCTTGGCCACATCACTGCTCACAGGTCTGTTTCTGGAAGGCCATGGTGCCTTGAGCCTGGGACTGTGCCTCTTCATCTCTCTACGCCTCACACCTAGCTGAGCACTTGACCTGCACATTCAAAATCCACTTGTGGAAATAAAGAGTGGACTGTGTTTTCAATCACTGCTGCCAGAAAGGGGTTCTGACACATCCAGGACTCAACAATACATTTTAGAGGGGACCCGGATGATCTCATCTTTCTTTTTCTCTATGAGCGGGGAAGTGGAAGGTGACCTGGGTCAAGTGTGGATACCCCAGATGGCCTGAGTGATGGGATGCCAGTGACCCCCCACCCCCACCCAGCTAGGGGCTACCATCCACAGCATACTGGCACCAGCTGTGACACAGTGCCTGCCGCTGAGGCATTACCGCGTTACAACGTGCCGAGCAACCTTCTGAGTGTCTCTCTGAAATCTCACCCACACGCCAGAACAAGGACATTATCTTCTTCCTTTTCAGACAGGAAAAGTGAGCACTGCATGGTGAAGTGACTTGCCCGAAGCCACACAGCTACGAAGCAGACCCCCAGGGGGCCCCCAGACGTGAATACAGGCGGTGGAGCTGCGAAGCGAAGACTAAGAACTCAAAGGCAAGCAAACCTGGCGAGTGCGAGTCCCTGAGAGAATCCTCACTTTCGGACTCGTCCTCATCGTCCGCCTCGTCCTCCTCATCTGCCTTGTCCACCTTGTATGTGCTCTTGCCAGATGTTTCCACACTCTACGATGGAGAAAGACTATCATAATGACGGCTACTAGTCAACTATCCTGGATATTTCAGAGATGACAGATTTGAAAGCTGGATGCATGCTTCATTTTTGTCCTTTCAATTAGAAGATTTAACAAAGGTCCTCCCTGGTGGTGCAATGGGTTAGAACGCAGCATTGCAAGGTAGCCTCAGCTGCTTCTGTGTGAGTTCAATCCCCGGCCCCAGAGGTGACTCTATGGCGTGGCAGACCTCTCCTGTCTCACCCACTGCTCCCTTCAGCAGTGCACTTCGTTGACCTGCCTGAGCTGCTCTGTCTTTGGTGAAGCCTCTCATCGCCCCTGTACCTGTGGCCTGTACCCCAGTTCTGTATGAATGAATCGATCAATCTTTAAAAAAATATTTCACATCTCTTAAAAAAGACTTAAAAATAACTAACTTCTGTGGCCTCAAGAATGGACAACACAAAGCACAGCTGACTCAGTTGTGTCTTTCAGCTAGGCAGACACTCAAGAATCAAAGATTTCCTGAATAAGGGCCCTCCCTGGTGGCATAACAGGTTAAAGCACAGTGGCATGATGCTACCTGAGGCACTGAAGCATGAGTTGGAGCCCCAGCCAGGGAGATGACCCACATGACGCGGCGGACCTCTCCTGTCTTGCCCGCTGCTCCCCTCAGCAGTGTGTTTCAGTAGATCGGCCTGTTCTGCTCCCCTCTCTGTCTCTGGTGACTCCTTTCACCCCCCTCACCTGTGGTCCATACCCCAGTTCTTGTATGCAAAAATAAACCAATCTTAAAAAAAAAAAAGACTCCCTGAATGGGAGTGGGAGCTACAGGGGAAGAGCGTAGAGTTGGCATGTTGTCTTGGCCTGCTCAAAGCCCTGGGCCAATATGGGGCCCTGGTGAGCAGTGGGGACTGTGATTGAGGTAGAATTTCCCAAGCCCTGGGGTCTGAACAGTCTTCACCACGGTGATCTCCAGCACTTTTCAGAAACATATTTCTATTTGAAATTCTCATCCATGATATGGCTGGCCACAGCTGAGCGACAGTAGCAGAGGGTGAAGAGCTAAAGTCTGGGACAAAATATAGCCTGGATGCAAGGGACCCACCCGAAGACGGGACATACTGGGGCAAGATCTGAACAAGCACTGACCACAAGGGGAAAAAGAAAAACAAATTTGAGTTCGCTAAAATGAACTTTTGGGCCCTCCCTTGTGGCACAAGGGGTTAAAGTGCAGCACTATGAAGCAATCTGCAGCCACTGCTGCACGAGTTCGATCCCCAGCCAGGGAGCTAACCCACAGGGCGCAGCAGACTTCTCTCCCCACTGCTCCCCTCCGCAATATGTTTCAGTCCATCTGCCTGTTCTGCTCCCCACTCTGTCTCTGGGGAATCCTCTCACCTCCAGCACCTCTGGCCTACACCCCAGTACTGTATGCATACATAAATCAATCTTTTAGAAAAATGAACTGTTTATAAAGGCATGATGGCAGAGTGAGGCATGAGAGTCAGTCCCTCCAAGGTGCACAGCACAGGTTCAGCCATAGCGGACGGCAACTCGTGCAGATCAGCAAGAAAAGGGCAGTGATGAGAAGGAAACGGCAAAGAATTTGAAGAAGCACTTTGCTAAGTACGTGGTCTCCAAATGGCCGGTTCCAAAGATGCCTGACACCATTTGTTGATAAATTCAATGACAAGGAAAGTTAAGAATTTCAATTCAGCAGGAGGCACTACTAAGAAAAAGCTATAACCAGGAGAAGCTATCTGCAACACATAAACCAGCAAAGTATAATCTACAACAGAACCACACAGAGTAAGACACATCAGCCCAGAGCTTCAGACGACAAACTACAGAAGCGACTCACAAAATCAGACATGAAAGCTAAAGACATGAAAACATGCTCGACTGTTTTACTCATCATGGCAAAGCGAATGTGGTACCCTGTTTCACCACCACAAGCTAGCTCAGCAAGAATTAATGTCAGCAAGCATGGGAAGCAGCAGGAAGCCTAAGACACACTACCGGTAGGACAGAGACTACCTTGGAGGCATTCCATTCTGTCTTTCTTGTCCGCTTCATGATTTCCTCAATTCTCTATTTAAAAGGAAATTCAAACAAAAACAGATTAAAAACAATGTGTGGGACTCTCCCTGGTGGTGCTATGGGTTAAAGCACCACAGTATGAAGCTCTCCAAAGCCACTGCAGCATGAGCTCGATCCCCAGCCAGGGAGCTGACCCATATGGTGCGGCACACCTCTCCTGACCCGCCTGTTGCTCCCCTCAGCAGTGTTTTCCAGTTCATCTGTCTGTTCTGCACGCCCCCTACTCTGTCTCTGGTAAATCCTCTCACTCTCCACACCTCTGGCCTATAACCCCAGTTCTGTAAGCATAAATAAATAAATCTTTAAAACAAAACAAAACACCACACTGTGAGCTATCCGCAGAGTTTGATCCCTGGCCAGGGAGGTGACCCACATGGCGTGGCAGACCTCTCCTGTTTCCCTACTGTTCCCTCAGCAGTAGATTTCACTCGATCTGCCTGTTCTGCTCCCCACTCTCTCTGGTAAATTGTCTCACTCCCCACACCTCTGGCCTGTACCCCAGTTCCTGTATGCATAAATAAATAAATCTTTTTAAAAAATGAATGTGGCCCTGAGGATGTTATAACTCCCATTTTGCAGCAGCAGACATATCAATGACTACTCCAAAGCCACTGAACTATCCAACATACAGCATCTTTCACTCCTGGTTTCACTCATTTAGAAAATGTCTTGAGTTATCATTACCACAGAGATCCAAATAATTTTTTACTCAAAAGTTTGCAGACTCAGAGTCATTAGACAGAGTACCTGTTATTGCAAACCAATTAGAGCTTTTGACTTAATGTCAGTCTGAGCAGATTATGACCGAAAGCTGATGTCAATAAAAATACCCCGCACACCTCCTCACCCATGATGTGACACCATCAGAGGTTTTGTTGCTAGAAAGAGAACTCAGAGGAGGATAACCATTCTCTCTCCAGTATTCGCTGCTTTCCCTGAAGGTGAGGAGAGCTGCTGCTCTCTGGCCTCCTCAGGTACCTAGCCTCTGGGAAGGCCTCCCAGGACCTCAGCCTGGACAGGGCCTTCCTGTTACAGATGAAGCAGAGTAAGGTCCTCCTGCCTTGTGAACAGCCTGCACTTTGGCCTTGTTAAGAGGCATCATAGGGCCCTCCCTGGTGGCTCAGTGGATTAAAGCACAGCACTAAGAGGCTGAAGCCACTTCAGCAAGTTCGATCCCTGCCCGGGAAGTGACCCACGTGGTGCGGCAGACCTCTCCTGACCCGCCTGCTGCTCCCCTCAGCAGTGTACTTCGTCGATCTGCCTGTTCTGCCCCCACTCTGTCTCTGGTGAATCTTCTTACTGCCCCTGCACCTCTGCTTGTACCCCAGCTCTGTATGCGTAAATAAATAAACCTTAAAAAAAAAAGAGGCATCATAGTAATGGCTACCAATGGGCCATGAGGAGGGAAAGTATGGTGGGTGGCTAAGAGGGAGACCCTTCTAGATAAGAGGGGCCAGGTGTGAAGCAGGTGAGGACACCACCAGCAACTAGCAGAGCACTTATTTCTGATGTTCCAAATGCATTTGGATGTCATATGCCCAACATTGTTTTCAACAAAGAATCAGATCCCCTAAAACAAAGAGAGAGAGAGAAGAGAGAGTACCTTCTTTCTTTCTAATCTTTCCTTCAAATTCTGTAACATAATTCTCTCGTGCTCCTTCTTGCGTTTGTCGGCCTCCTCCTGAGCTCTTATTTTGCTGTCCCCTTTCTAGGAAATTTGTATAAAGATGTCATTTCATCTCAGTATGTCTGAAGGACATTAGAGAACACCAGTTTAAAAAGGGAAATGTTATCCAGCAGGAAAGAACGTTAGCCTTGAGTTCCTACATGCACGACGTGTGGACGAACCATTTTTAAACATTAATCGAAAGCACAAACTCAGACTAGCCGTCATCACAAGGACTGAGAGGGCACACCCACCCCTGCAGCACCTTAGGGTCCTCACGGCAGTGCTTCTCAGAGCGCCAGCCTGAAAAGATGACAGTGTAGCTACAGGAGGCAAAAGTGTTTGCTTCTCAAAAGCACTGAGGATTCTGAACAGCACTTTCTTGAGCAAAGTCAATGTAAAATCACTTATGTGACACAGGACCGATTGTGATGAATGATTCTGAAACTGGAATATCAATTGGGTGTTGTGTATTATTCAAGCTGAGTAGCCTGAGCTTCATTTGGGATTCACCTGGTAATCTGAATGCATGCGGGTGAGACATTGTTATTGGTGGGTTTGTTCACTTAAACTTTCAGAGCTATTTGTAATTTCTATTTATCTGTGTGTCGGAGGCGGGGGTTGGGGGGGATGGGCAGTGTTACTGCAAGATCCGGGGCTGGAAATCACTCACAGGGTGGTGTGAGCATTTGGATTTCCTGAAAGCAAGTGTAGCACGCTAAAAGGCCACTAATCTAGACTTAGGTGCTTGCTGCTTGGGAAAGCTTCCAGCATTTTGCCATGCATGGCTGAGAGTGCCCTGCAGTGGCACTGGGTATCAGCTAGACTATCATGTCAAAAAGGCAGCGTGACAACGCAACATTTGCTCGTCTGATTTTGCGGTGCCAGGAAAAAACAAACAAATTCAGTTTGATTTTCAACTGAATTTTATAATCTGGTTCTTATCCCAGATCAAGTGGAGGGCTGGCACACCTGATGTTGCCCACTCTGCTCATCTTCATCGTGCCCACTTTCCTTCGTCTCTTTCAGCTGTTGCCCCTCACCAACTTGTGAGGCTTCTTGGTCTTCAGCTGCTGGCTCTGTCACGAGCTTCTCTTGCCTGAGGACAGAGTAATTATGCAAGTAACTCAGTGTTCACCTTGGTCTCTACTATATACACAGCTGGGAGCAGTACAGGCATTTTTATAGTGAAACTGTCCTTGGAGATTGCGCGGCCTAATTTCTGTGGACACCACACTGACCACAGAGCATGTGTAAGAGCTCACCCCATTTTAAATGGTGGGGGGGGGGGCGTGTAATAAGCCCTTGGGAATAGAAAAAAGAAGATTTCTATCATGTATTGGGCTCCTTGAGTCTTAAAACAGAACTATGTGAGCTCTCCTTAATTGTTTCACAGCGGGCCTATGCAAAACACCCCACCCACCACAAGCTCACACCCAACCTTCTTCAGAGAAGGATGTGGTGGTACCAGAAGGCAAAACCCAGTCACAATCCAGGGCTTAGAAAATGCCAAGTCAGCACTGTATCCATGAAGCAATGACCAATCTCCTACTCAGAGATCTGTAAAGAGTATTTCCCCTTGTCCTTTCTCTCCAACCCTATCCAATATCTAAAAAGCATGTGACTGGTAACAGAAAACACCTCACATTTAGACACAAAGTCAGGACTGCAGTGGACAGAGGTTTCTGCTACAGGGCCATCAAGGGCCACCAAGTCCAAGAAGCCCCGAGGGCGGGTCGGGAAAGCTTCAGGGGGAGCCAGATGCACACAGGTGCTGGTTTGCGGACAGCCTGCCGCAGGCTACAGAGGCGCAGGTGTCTGGGCCAAGGCCACTGGGATCCCCAGTCAAGCGCAAGGAAGTGCACTGCACCTCCCAGCTTTACCAGTTCTGGGGTTCCGGAAAACTTCTGCGACACTGCCAGGGGCTGACACCAATGGACACGCACAGAATGCTCTGGCGAGCCCGCTGCCCGGCAGCAACCTCCTGTGCCGAGTACAGAGCCCGCCACCGGTCCCTCTGCTTTCAACTGAAGGGAGTGTCAACTATCTTCTGACAGTTTACAGGAGGTACAGTACAGAAAAGATGATTTTGTGCTGACCTTCCATGAGCTTCCTGGAGTTTTTCTTCTTTCTCTTTCTGTTCACGAGCAAGGCGTCGTTTTTCTGCCAAAATTTTCATTGCCTCTTCGGCATTCAAAGTTCCGGGTGCACTTTTATTGCCAGACTCTAAATTAGCAAGTGAAATGAGTGATTAGTTTGGGGAACAGACTGCCTCTCTCAGTCCAACAAAGAGGTCTTGATAACTGACAATATTAAAGCCACAAATAATATGTACACAGTCTAAACTGTATCAACAGCAAGCAATTTATGAGGGATTATATAGTAGATTCGTTCAAAATCCCAACCACCTCTGACAACATTAAGAACTTTCTGACTGGCCCTCCCTGGTGGCGCAGCGGGTTAAAGCACAGCACTGAGAAGCTAAAGCCGCTTCCGCATGAGTTCGATTCCCACCTGCCCCGGAGGTGACCACATGGCGCGGCAGACCTCTCCTGACCCGCCCGCTGCTCCCCTCAGCAGTGTGCTTCGTCCATCTGCCTGTTCTGCTCCCCACTCTGTCTCTGGTGAAGCCTCTCACCGCCCCTGAGCCTCTGGCCTGTACCCCAGTTCTGTATGCACAAATAATAAAACGAAAAAAAAAAAAAAAGAATTTTCTGACTTTTTTTCTTCTTTTTGAAAACCACTTCCAACTGAAACTTTATTTTTGACTATCATTGCCACTTTGGTTAAGCTCTTCTGACATACTTGAGTAAACTGACACTGTGGGAAAAAAGATGAAGCCCTAACAAAGCAAAAGAACACAAGCTTATGCTCGGTCCAACCAAATGAGGCATACAAAACTCTAATACCTGACTAAATAAAAACCCACCCAGCATGATTTTGAAAAGCACCATCATTTTGACCAATTAGTCAGCTAAAGGATGGTAATAGTACTCCTTACAACGGGGCTAGCTAGGGAGAAACAAGAATGCCACACTATCCTGACCACGGCATTCTCCTTATTTCAAATAAGCCACGTATGAAAATGAGGCTCTTAAGACACTAGGAGTGAATAATGAATGATTTGTAATAAAGGGTAGTTTCTATTACAAAGCATTCACTGTGGAATTCTTCAGAGCAAAATTCTCCAACTTATTTAAAAATAAATAATGCGTTGGGTGACAGGCAGAGCGCCATCAGGGTACTTTCAAGAACCTACAGGCCAGACACAGTATGGCTGGTGTGTGGAAACGGACCTACAGCTCCTGGTGGAAACCTGCTCAGGCCACGGGCCAGATGCGCCCTCTCCAAAAAACGGAAAATCTCTAGGCCCATTCACAGACCCTCCACTGTCAGGCCTGAAAGGGAGCACAGGGCCCACCCTACAGTATTTTATGCACCAGTTCCAAAAGTGACTTCCAAAAACCACCTGGGGATGGGGCTAAAAAACTCTGGCGAGGGAAAGCAAGCAAGTATACCAGTGATTGGCTCAGTTCTCTTTTTATCCAAAAAGCAAGCTGGCTTGCTCCTGAAAGTTCTCAGATTCGGAAAATGAAATAAAGTGGACAATACCCACACCAACTTCAGGTTACCTGTGTTGCCAAAACCAACCTTATCAAGAAGGGACCTACCTTCGTAGGACATCTTTAAGTTCATGGACTCATATCTTTTAGGGGCTTTAGAAACAGTTTCTTTTTTCTTTCTGATAGCACCTAAGACATTTGGTGTGAATACGGTGTGCTGAACGGGAGATACTCTGTAAGAAAGAGACGATGGCGGAGACCGTCTTGACACACTAGGTGAAGGCGAAGGAGGTCGAGTCTTCTGAATTTGCCTGTTGGGGAAAAGTTATAGTTAATGTATCAGAAATTTGGACACAGTTGTATAATAAATGCTACTAAAATGTTTAGCACACAATTTCATAAATGTCTTCATATTAGGAAGTGATGAAATAGTAAACGTAGATACTTTCATTAACAGACAAAAGCTTATTCACTTTTGAAGGTTTTTTTCCTTATATTTATACTACCCTACATTTATGAAACAATAATGTAAATATGTCCTGGTAAAATGTCTATTGGAAACAACTGCAAACAGTTACTTACTTTGGGCTGACAGGAGAAGTTGGACTCAACCCTAGAGATGATGACCATTTATAAGATGAGATGCCTGGTGATGGGCGCCTCTTGATGACAGGGGTTGAGGCTTGTTTGTCCATCTCTGATTTCTAAATAGACCAAAAAGAGTTCACTAATATTTGCCTTATTGTGCTTAATTTTGCTAAGAGAAAAAAATATTCTGACTAAAATATAGAGGCATTGCTATAGACCCACAATTCCATTAGACAATTCAAGTTTGGAGAAATAATTTAAGACATCTTTTACTTCAAAACCTAATTCTACTTCTAGGTACTAATTAAGGACTTGTAATATTTCTCAATCTCTGGTACAATGAATAGCACAAAATTTTAAGTAATTAAAATGAGCTAATCTTATTGTATTAAGTGTATTACAGACCACTATGAAGAAGTTCCTCAGGTGTGAAACCTAGCCTATCAACCTGAGCAACTAAATATACCAACTGTTGTAAAAATTTGTTTGCAAAATACCATCGGGAGAATCTCTCACTTGCATTGCAGATCTTGCCACGCTCACCTCAGGGGACCCCCTCACACATTCCCTGAGGAGAGCTTCCTCGCTGGTCTTAGGAGATGATGATGTGCTTCCCTTGGGAGATGAGTCTGGACTGGCTTCAGATGATGCTTCTAAGCTCATATCAGGGGAAGAGTCCAAGCTCACCTCTGGAGAAGGATCCACGCTCACGTCGGGGGAGGAGTCAATGCTCACTTCAGGTGATGGGTCAACGCTAACTTCTGGAGAAGAGTCGATGCTCACCTCAGGCGACGGATCCACACTCACTTCAGGTGAGGTTTCCTGGCTCTTGGGCAGCCCTTGCAGGCTCGATCCAGGGAGATCTTCCATGTTTCCCTGGAGGAACGCTTCCATGTTGGCCTTGGATGATGTTGCCATGCTTACAGAGGGTTCTTCCACATTTTCAGTGGAGAGTACTCCACAACTCACATCGGGGGGCACCATCTTGTAGTGCTCGAAGAGCACTTCCGGATCTACCCTGGGAGCTGTTTTGCTGCTCGCCTTGAGAGGTGTCCCCTTACTTGCCATGGGGAGTGCTTCAGTGTCGGCTTTGGAGGGTGATTCCACACGTGCCTCAGCAGGAGCCTCCAGGCTCCCCTCTTGCGGTGTTTCCACTTTCTCTTGGGGCGGCACAGAGGGAGCTGACTTGCGCAGCATGAGGGCAGCCTTTAGTTCGTCGCTGCTATGGCTCCGCAGAGGCACATTTACGTATTGGATTACTGTTGTATGGGTTCCTGCACGTGAAGGAGAACAGACTGAAGTGCTGTGCAGTCGAAAGTGTGACATGACAGAAATGTAACAGTATAAAAACAGGTTAGGAAATCGCAGGGATGCCACACCTAACACACAAGTGTTTTGTTAGATGGACCACAAACATGGGCAGCAGCACTCGCAAAGCTGGAGAGTGAGAAGCGTGGCCCGGACACAATGGTCCACTACAAACAAAAGCAAGGTACGCCTCGCAAAGCTGGTGCTTGCAATAATCCACTTCTATTTAATCACATGGCAGCTAATGATTTTCGTATAAAACTAAAAAAGCTTGTTATTTTCAATAGTAAATCCAATCTTGCCATTTACCATTTTAGAATAGAACGCACCAATTTGTTCACCCACACTAAAAACCACTGTGATTTGATCATCAGAATGGATGATCTTCCAGTCCCTTCCAGGTTTAACAACCTGTCTTGCAGTTTTCCAATACTGAGGACTTCTTACTAGCATGTCTAATACTATAACCTATTAATCAGAAAATCTACATAACCCTGAAGATTGTTTATCTTAACAACCACTATGTTCTTAAAACTAAGGAGCAGCTCAATGCTGGAGCTGGAATAGGTGACTTTTCCCTTGATGTTTCTTCAGTTTTCTGTACTTCTAAAATCTAGTCCTTTCTACATTTATTTCTGTGATATCAATAGAACTTTAACATTTAACAATAAACAAAATTAGCCACCTCATCCCTGTAAGTCACCTATCAGATAACTACTCTACCACGCCAGAAATCACAAATAGAGAACACAAGATGTGGGGTAAAATCATTCACTGGGAAACTACTGATTTGAGCTAGCTTTAGGCTTTAATACAAAAAACGAAATGATACAATCTGTTTTTTGAGTGCAAAAACTAACACTTTTAGGCTTTCTACCCTATCCCTGTTACCTGGAACATCTTTTCCAGGAGCTGACAATGAAGCAACACTTTTGCTTCTCGCTATTGATGCTTTCGTTGGAACCAGTAGGCGAGAGATTAAAATATTCTCCCGAACATTGGTGTACCGGTGACAACCTACATAATGAGATCAAACAAAAAAAGATTCAGTTTGAAGTCTGGCAAGTTATTGCAAAGGCAGACCAATGTGATTTGCTTCAAATGATAGCTTTCCTAACCAAGGAGTACAGTGGCAAGGAGAACAACACATGACAGGACAGTGTGTGGCTACCTCAACAGACCATATTATAGGAACAGAGAACCTTAACTACAGAGCAAAGGACCCAACACCCCTTCATCACCACAGTGAAGGGAGCTCGGTGATACAGGAATCATACCCAATGGATGGAGTCCCTACACAGGAATTCACATATGGAGGGAAAAAGTTGTGCAGAGACCAAACAACCTTGCTGGATTCCTACAAATAGAGAGATGCCACTGATGGCCTGGTCAAGTCCACTGCCAAAAGCTCCAGCGGACTGTATTCTTTTGTCCTAAGTGAATCTTTGAAATAAACATCCTGCTTTCATGAACTTTTATGCTCATAAAGATGACCTGAATCAATTAAGTGGAACACTTTTGTAAGTGGACAGTTGGGTATGAAACAAAAAGCAATGATCATATTTGACAGCGAAATTACAGGGAAGAAGTTGTTAAAAAGAGACAACTTTAAATTTGGTAAGTAGACAAAATTTGGTATGCAATCATCAGCAGTGAAGATAGGCGCAAAGGATGATTGTAGGCAATGAGGCAACACAGCAAAGCTTTGAAGATCAAAAACATGGCTGGTAATTTAGAACGTCTAAAAAGAAAAGGATGATTTTGCTTCTAACTTTAGGAATGACTTTTGAAGCAACAGAATGTAGACACATATACATCTCTTTTAGACCACTGCTGAAGATTTGTGCTTAGAAATAACTAACCAGGAGGCTTTTCTTCTACTTGTTCCACTTCTGAGGATGGATTTTGTTTACTGTATCGTCTGTTCAAAGATGGGCTTCTTGTCTTATCCATTTTTTCTAGAGATCAAGGACAAAGGATAATTATTTTCTTATACATTGTTTCAAATATGTTATTTCAGGAGAAAGCTACTCCTTTGCTTAAAGAAGATTTGCCAATCTTCTCTGATTTTGCTTCTAAATATTTAAATTCCAAATATTATGCAGAGATTTTATATGCAACAGCTTAAAACTAGCTTACTCTTTATCTGACAATTTAGAAAATGGCAAAAATTAAGGGGAAAAAAAGTCAACTACTACTGAGGACATCAAGCTTCTCAAATTCGGAAGATAATCTTCAGTTCTGAACATAATCCATGCTACTTATCACTAAAGTAGTTAACACTTTAGTTATAATCTTGTCTTTTTTTTTTTAAAGATTTATTTGTGCATACAGAACTGGGGTACAGCCCAGAGATCAAGGGCGGCGAGAGGCTTCACCAGAGACAGAGTGGGGAACAGAACAGGCAGATCGATGAAGTACACTGCTGAGGGGAGCAGCGGGCCGGTCAGGAGAGGTCTGCCTCGCCATGTGGTCACCTCCAGGGCAGGCGGGGATCGAACTCATGCGGAAGTGGCTTTAGATTCTCAGTACTGTGCTTTAACCCACTTCGCCACCAAGGAGGGCCATAATCTTGTCTTTTAACAAAAAGTGAGCATTATTAACTCCCAAACATACATGTATTGTAAATACAGTGTTGAAAAAGAAAAGTGTTGAAAAAGAAAAAAATCAGTTTAAACAACCCAAACCATTTCATAAGGGGAACTAACCTGTTGTATGTGTAGATACTTTTCTATTCTATTGGAACTATTCTAGGAAAACTTAGAACAACCTGCTAAATAATAATTTCTTTTTTGGGGGGGTCTATAAGTTGAAATATATATTGACAATAGAACAATGCAAGAAATCTTGAGCTGACAATCGAGCAGCATGAATCAGAGGTACAAGCAAGTCAAACGTGATTAGAACATGCAGACATTATTATCATGATGTCAGAAATCACTGTGAAGAGTCATTATGAGTCAGCCACAAGTAGAAGAAAAACAGCCTGAATCAGCCACAATTTAAAACAAGGCTATTGGAATTATAACAAGTCAGATTATAAATTTGAGTTTGAAATGCTCATTTCTGGACTGTTCAGGTTTCATTTCCATTTGAAGAGCTTTAACAAAGGTCAAGCCACTGCCCATCTTGATTTTTTTCCTCCCTGGAATCACCAAGACAGCACCCATCATCTTAGAGTGCAACATACTGTACCTTTAAGCAAGTTAGTTCATAAAGTATCTTCTTGACATACTTTCTTGTATTAACTGGTAAAGAAGAAGTTACCATTTAAGAAGTTACCAGGAATTTGCTCTTTCAGAGCAGTGTAACTACTACCTTGACAGTCATCACCTTCCCTTCACCATGTCTCACTAACATGGCACACACCCATAAACACACACTAGGTTTTCTCATATTAAACACAGAATGCTTTGAAAATTCCTCAAAGAAATTAGATAACAAAGCATAGCCAATGTTTGTGAAACAGTGAGGGTATACTAAAATCAAAGAATACATGACAGTGAAATCAATGTGATCTAATTTCTCTGAAGAGTTCAGTTGAAGAGTAAGTTAATTTTATCACATGATAAGCAAAGTACTAGAGAGTTCCCCAGTAATCTATAATGAACCTGAGCAGCACAGAAAGCGCTTCGAGAGCCACACTAGGTGTGGCAGTATGGGAACCAACCTGGGCCAGACTGCTTACTACAAGAGAATACAAGTTTACCCAGACTGACAGCAAAAGCTCTCTCGAAAGATCCTCTTTGGATATTATAGAAGTCCTAAATGTACAAATACCTAATATTAATCATGAGCCAAACAAAGATCCTGTTAAATTATAACAACTATAATATTTAAATAAAAATGGAAATCTTTAATGCTACCATTAACTATAGGTTGTTTTTATTTATTCTTATTTTTATTAATTTATATATCTACTTGTATCATTGTTCTTTTTTTTTTCATTGTTCATTTTTAAATAATGTTTACTTCCCCCCATAACTTATTTTTTAAGATTTATTTGTAATTATTTATGTACACAAGAACTGGGGTATAGACCAGAGGTGCTGGGGTGAGAGGATTCCCCAGAGACAGAGTGGGGAGCAGAACAGGCAGATCTACTGAAGTCCAGGGCTGAAGGGGAGCAGCAGGTGGGACAAGAGATCTGCTGCGCCATGCAGGTCAGCTCCCTGGCCAGTTGAACTCACGCTGCAGTGGCTGGCAACAGCTTGCTAGCACTGACTTTTAACCCCTGTACAACAAAGGGGCCCCCAATTATACTTTAAATGACAGCCAGAAACTTTGGCTTTACTGCAACTTTATCGTTGTCACAGCATGCTTAAAAAAAAAAAAATCAAGCTACCTAATAATACAAAAGAAATGCTTCTAAAAATTCCAACTGAAGGGGCCTCCCTGGTGGCGCAAAAGTTAGACACAGCACTATCAACCTAGTAGCAGCCACTGCAAGCATGAGTTCGATCCCCAGCCAGGGAGCTGACCCCTATGGTACAGCAGACCTCTTCCAATCTGCCTGTTCTGCTCCCCACTGTCTCTGGTGAATCCGCTCAACTCCCACCTCTGGCTTGCACCCCCAGTTCATGTATGCTTAAATAAATATTCAAAAAAACATGCATGATCATGGTTGCTAGATCCATTTCACTCATCAGTGAGAAGTACCGTGTGCTCAAGCCAGAAATGGCAACCAGAACACATGCAGGCAGTGTGCTGAAATGGAATACTCACTTCAAGGACAGACACCAGGCGCAAGAGGTGATGACCATCTCACCTATGGTGAAATAAACTGTTCTCCTTGAGTAAACCTATATGTTCCACCACCTACAGACTAAGTGGCAGCCTAAAAATGAATACCAAAATCTTGAGTTCACTGAATTGGAATTAGTAGAATAGATGAAACTTACTCCTGGCAGTGGAATTTTGAAGACCGGCAGATGACAAAGACTTTTGTTTTTGTAAACCAGAAGTTCCTTGCCCTAATTTTTCAGTACATACAGGATGCTTATCACCTGAAAAAGATATATTTACTATTCTCATGTTTAAAATATAGCACTAGCTGAAACAAAACAAGTTTGTGTTTCTACAGAGCAGAAACACACATTAACTAGGTACGCAATTTTCAGCAGTTACCCCATAAAGCAAAGCGACACCACGTTGACTTGTGTTTCATGAAATTGTGTGATTATGTTACCACATATGAAAACTACAAAGTAAATAGGGCAGACTTCATTTTTTAAAATACACATTGGATAAAGTTGTGTAAAGGTCATTAGCTATTAAACATTTCTACTAATGACAAGTTTAAATGGTGAGATATTGGAATGTGTTTCTTCTATAAACTCACGTGACACAAACTTAAATGTACATTTACTATGTGTGCCAGTGAGTACCAAGAAGTATTTGGCTCAGGATACAAAGTTCCAAATCTCATGAATGCAACCCATACTTATCATCAAAACCGAAACATTAACGTGAATGTGCTTGAAGTTGAACCGCTGTCTTATTTACCAGCTTTATTTTCCGAGTTCACAGGCACAGTAGAGCCTTCCCAGGACCATCTTTTTTGACGATCTACACGGTTGCTCCGTTCCATGGTTCGGTAAAGAACAGCTTTGAACTTTTCCTGTTTAAAGTAAATGCCAACAAATGTTTACACATTCAGTTATATTGGTATTACTCTGATCTATGGGTTATGAAACAACCCCAACGGTCAATTCTGATTTTTTTAAATATATTTATTTATTTATTTATTCGTACAGAACTGGGGTACAGGCCAGAGATGTGGAAGGTGAGAGGATTCACCAGAGACAGAGTGGGGTGTAGAACAGACAGATCGATGAAGGAGAGGTCTGCCGCGCCATGTGGTCACCTCCGGGGCAGGCAGGCAGGGATTGAACTCATGCAGAAGTGGTTTTCATTCTTAGTGCTGTGCTTTAACCCACTGCGCCACCAGGGAGGGCCCAATTCTGATTTTTAACAGGCAGAAGTTAGAAATAACTGGAGACATGTCTCAGGAATCAATATGCATCTGTGCTGGTCCTGAAGAACTCATTTTTAATCTTTTGTATCTGAATCAAAGAACTAAACTTGCTGCCCTCTTTGCATAGGAAATTTAGTCAGATCTGCAGCCTACATCTAAGCGTGTATGGGCATTGCAGGGTATACTTTTGTGTGTTAACCAGACCTGATGCTTTACTGTTTTCCTATTTTAATTCTCCTCTCTGCTTGATTCCTTCAACCATTTACTTTATCACTGACTGTGGTGTGGATGTTAATATATCTTAAATTCCTTGCAGAATGAGGCAAGGAAACAAGGAACTCACACACACAAGTGAAATTTATGCAAGTCATCTATTATACCCACCATGTGTAACACCTTGAATTGTGGTATAAACTGATAAAAAGCTTTAAAAATGATAAAAATATATTTGCCTGTTCTGCTCCCTACTCTGTCTCTCTGGTGAATCCTCTTACCCCTGTACCTCTGGCCTACACCCCAATTTTGTACACATAAATAAAATAAAAATAAAACTTTAGCAGTTCTTAATATAAAACATATCTAATGGCAATATTTCAGAAATTTTGTTAACAAAAAGTTGTTCTATATTATTCAGACCTCAAGGGTATAATAAAGACTAAAACAAGATTAACCTTGTATTCCTAGAACATTCGATTCCTTTGAGTTCTATCCTGCTGTTTCCAAATGTCTAGCCCTCGTAGCTTGGGTGAAGCTCCTACCCTATGTCATGTTACCTCCGGCCCACACTCCTCAGTGCCACTGGCTTGGGCTTTTCCCTGCTCTATGCTAATGACTCCCTTTCTTGTCCTACAGACAGCCTACTTATGCTTTCCCATGGCCCTGCTCTGTCTGGGGTCATTTGGTTCTGTCGCTCAGATTATCTTTCTCTAACATGGTCTTTTTCCCTCAGCCCCTGGGACAGTTTCTCTCCTCCAGGGAATCTTCTCCTATCCTGCACATAGCTTTCTACTTTACTTTCTTTGGTTCTCTGCCTTTTCTCTTCAGAGTTTAATCTCTCTGAAGATCTCCCCCCTCCCCTTCTTCTTTATTTTCTTTACCACAGGTAAGAAGAAGTTTTGCAGAGGAAGACAGTGACAGAAATTCTGAAACCTGTCAAATACTGTAATGTGAAAAAAGAACATAAACCACACACACAATAAAAAGTTCAGAAAGAAGTGATAGTGGCCCATAAACAGGGCAGGAGAGTACTAGAATAAGGAAAGCCCACAGAGGAGACACCGGCTGGGACAAGGTGTGTGCAGGGGCAACTATGTGTCACATAGAGAGCAAAGGTGAATACCACAGAGGAAATTCCAGAGAGGACAGCTCACAGGGGGGAAATGGAAGCGACGAAGGTGGTAAAAAGGTAAACATTAGAGTAACACCTAAGAAAGGCAGAGAGAACAACAGGGATACTGAGAGAACAAGCAGAAAGTCCAAAGAGCTCCGGAGAGAGGAAATAGAACATTAAGACAAAGGAGCAGAAAGAAAAGCGGGGCGCCCAAGCAGAAAAAGGCCAGTCAGACAGAGAATCAGAGGACAAAGACATTTAGGGGAACTTGTGAGTCACTGGGCTAAAAAGAAAACGCCAGCAAGCAAGAGAATGGTGTGAGAGAATATGCCAGATTCAGGAATCGAGGGTACTACTATAGGAGAAAAATGGGCAGTCCAAGAGAATCAGGTAGAATGAGACAGGCAGCCAAATGCCCAAGTATAAGCAACACAGGACAAGTTGAAGAGGGACATAAAGGGGAAAGAGAGAGTAACCCAGGCAGTGACTCATACCAACAGAGAGCCAAAGATACCACAAAACTGCCAGGAAGAAGAGTGGATGCGTGGTTGGGGATACAAAACAAGAGAGAATGAAAGGGCTTGTGAGGAAACTGAGGGAGGGGCAAAGTGAGTGCACAGCAGAGGGGCCGAGGGGCCTGAAGAAGGGAAGCTAGAGGCCGATTTGGCAGTTAGAGGAATGGTAGGAAGCAGGCCTAGGCCCCGCCTGTCAGGGAGGATCGGGTTGGGCCTGTAAATACTAGACAACTAGACAGCACTGAGGTCTTTGGTAAGAAAGAGAGGTACTTGACACAAACCCCAGGCCACAGGTCTCATTCTGAGGTGTGGGCATGGCTGTCTTCTATGTATCTGCAAGCTTCTTCTGGACTCTAGCTAGTGAGTCTAGACTCTGGGGATCTGACCAGGACAGGAGGTAGAGGGCCCCATGTGGAAGAGGAAAGGAAGAACTGGCATGGTTCCCTTCCCCGGGGGCTGCCTGTAAGAGCAGAGAAGGGCTAAGAAGAAAGTGTCCCAGACCCGGACCACACAGTACAGCGGCTAAGTAACAGGCTATAAAAATATGTACCCTTTCTTCCTCTAATTTTTGTTTTCTTTTTTCTTCTGCAGATATCCTCCTCTGTTCATCTTTTTCTTTCTGCTCTTTAAGTTTCCGCTGTTTTTCTTCCATCTGTTTTTCATACAGGATTTTGGCCTTTCTTTCTTTTTCAAGTAGCTGGGTTTCCTTATTAGCTGAAATATTCCAAGTATATTTTTAAGGTGTAAGAGCCAAGAAAATATTAAGTGTTCTACATTACAGAGAAGGAAAAGGCTAATGCAGCTAATTCTTTCTTTAAAAGATAGCATAATCTGACGATTAAGTGAAAACTTATATCTTATATAGATATAACTATAGATATTAATGATAAAGATTTATTATAAGATATGGCTACTAAAGAGTCCTTTTCACTGGGTGTTCATTTAATCCCAGAGAACTTAGATGCCTTTCAGCCCGTCCATACTAAAATTCCAAATCAAGAAGAAATGTGTTCTTTCAAGTGACAGTTCTACTAAATGGAGCTGAAGTTAACCCCCACGAGATGACATGCTGTCCATTAAAGTAGTAATTCAAAAAGACACACAAGGTCAGAGTGTTTCCTCTTCCTGTCACTGGGAAGCCCCTTTCAGAGGCCTCGGCTCCAGGGAGCATGTGCAGCATGCAGGGCTCACATCCTGACTCAGCCACAGATCAGATCCCAACAGCAAGCTGCTTTCCCATGCTCAAATTCCCCCCACTAACGCCTAGAGAGCAGCTATGCAATTGGAAAGCCCTAAGCCCTCGAAGAGAGCTACAGGAAGAAACTGCTCCTTGAGCAAAACAAAGATAACTGATATTCCATTTGAATGAAGGTGAGCCCTCCTTTTGTTTTTTGCTTCTTTTTTTTTGTCAGTGGAATTAGAAACCCAGAGGATTAAAAACACATAGTTGAAAAAGCCTTCTCTCTGTAGGTGTAGGAAGAATCTTCATTTAGATCCTAATTGACACAAAGGTTACATTCGAGAAGCCTGGCAATGGGTAAAAGACACCATCAATATTTATGTTGGGACTATGAGGATTTCGGTTTTATCTTTAGGATCATTATTATTGAAATCCCATTCTACTTGTTTCTAGAAATCTGAGGAAATTTTCACACTTTACAGAAAAATTAAAGCTAAGAGAAACTACTTCAAAAATTAAACAATTTAAGCCAAATATTTTTCACCGGTCTTCTCTAGCCCATTTTGCTATAAGCATTAGATCCAGTATACTACAGAAATGATGTAATCAATATCATATAAGCAGCCCAGGAAAAGTAAAACCCCTTTGAAAATATGTAACTTTAACATAAATGTAACCATTCTGATTTTAAAAGTCTATGGTACCATCCTGTTGTCTTCTTTTTTCTTCCCTGCGTTCTTTCGCCAGCTTCTGTTTGATGTCATTCCTCAGCACAGATCCATCAATAACTAAAAAAAAAAAAAAAATACATAGTTAGACATGAATAGGTATCAAAAAGGGATGGTATGGCCCTTGAACACCAAAATATTCTAGAAATTATACCAGGCTTGCAGGGAGTTCTTGTGGTGGAAGACTGGAAAGCCACTGAATTAAGGCCACTTTGACTTCGTCTTTCTTCAGCAACTGCGTGAGCAGCGGCAACTGAAACAGGAGGAGATAAAGGGGATCAGATACTCAGTCCAAGCAGCCCCACACGGGCTCGAACCATAGCTAAGGTACCATCAGGACGAACTAATTTGCCAGAGACCCACGGAGGAGCTAGGATGTTCAATAATTTCAAGAACTACACATGTTGGCTGTGGCAGTGCCCGAGAACGTGTAGGCACAGAGCTGTTAGCATAGTAACTTGTGGCCAAGTAGAAGCCAATGATTAAGGGCTCTCAAAAATGCCTCAGACAAGGAATGACACCAAGTACTAGAAAAATAGAGTGGAAGGAACTAGAAAGAGTACTTCATCATACTAGGGAAATCTGGACAGGTTTAAAATGTGGAAGCAAAAGTGTCAACAGTGAGATTTTCTCAAGAGATTGGGCCTGATGCTGAAAACACTGATAAATTACCCAGGAAAGGGGGTTACTTTCTACCTGGGCTATACACTATTTACCAGGTTGCCTCTGTAACAATGGACAAAGCCCGCCAGCCTGCCAGCCTGTTCCCCTCCCCCCACCTCTGGAGGTGGGGCTCGCCTAAGCAACAACTTAAAGCTCTATTCTGATGTACAGTGAGGTGAGAAAGCAGCCATCCAGAGGAAGGAATTTCTAATGAGATGTATTATTCTAGGTAGAAGAATGTCAGACAAGCAAATGTAAATTACACAATGTACATTCCCACCAAGCCTTGTGAAAAAAAGCAGTACAATGGTAAAGTAACTTCCAATGAATCCTATTCCTTGCGTGGCTGGTATCTGAAAGGGTCCCACCATAGTGGGCATCTTTAGGAAGGATCTGCAGGCCGATGCTGAAAACTGAGCTCTTTTGGAAAGAACAGGAAGTGAGCCCTACTCTGGCGTCTTGTATTAAGGCGAATCTGACAGTGGAAGCAGGCCAGTTAACTGAACTCAGCGAAGAGGACTACGGAAAGATGATGTCCTGGAATCCTAGCACAGTAACCGCGACAGTGAGAGCGCAACTGCAGCCACAGGGTGACCTCAAACGGGAGAAAAGGATGTTTTTACCCACAAAGACCTAAAAGGCTCAAATAATCCATAACCCAGATCAATTTGAAGGTTAGAATCCTCAACCTCTTTGTGAATTTGACTACAGACTATTAAGTTTTGTTTATCACAATTATCCTCTGAATCTAAGTGCTAATGTATTAAGGGCAAATCTGAAATAGTCTATAAATTAAACCCTCCGACATAATACATATCATTTGCACCTCACTTATCCATTCTCAAAGTTTCTCACTTACTGATTACCTTAATTCTCACAACAGTTCTAGGAAGTGGGCATTGATTCGTCCCCCCCCCCCCTTTTTTCCAGATAACAAACTAAGCCTAACTTTTCCAGACCACACAGGTACTAGGTGGCTACACCAGAACTTAATTCAATGATAGCTTAAATAGAAAATTTATTTTGAAATATTATGTATCTATCAAAGACCAACTACACAAAACCCACTCCAACCTCTGTTAAGATTTTGTTCGCTATCCCCACTTTAATTGCTTCTAGTTACTTCTGTTTAAAATAGCACACAAATTAAGCTCTAAATGTAAAGTTGATTCAAAAACAATGAAATGAAATATGCGAGTTAAGGATTAAAATGTCCTTTGAAAAGATGGGTGTGGAAATATTTTAAAAACAAAGCATTTACCTATTCTTATAAAACAGGAAAGCACAATTATGCTGTGGATAGGAAAGGCCTGACTGAACTTAGAGAAAAACATAGAAGACATTACAAGAAGAAAACTATTCTTCCACAAGGGGAATCATACAAACTCATTAATCTCCTGGCCGTCTAACTCAGTAAAAGACTCTGAACAAACGGAACCAAAAACAGACACCACTAAGGATGCCAAAGTTAAAGACTGCTTTTACAAAACAGATTTTTTTTAAATGTCACTGAAATTTTGATATCCCTTTGTATATAAAGTATTTCAGTTCATTACTGACTTCAATCTAGTGGAAAATTTTTGCTTCTCTCTGTCCCCTCCCCCCCACACACACACATGTGTCACTAGAGCCCTGTTCCACCAAGGCAGGCTAAATCCAAGAGACTGCACTTCCACGACACTTCTCTATGAACTAGGTCAAGCATAGTTGTGATCTTCCTAAGGCTGCACCCAAACGTGATTCCCCCAGCTGCATAATAGCGTGAGCTGTCACTAATAAAGGCACAGGCCAACACTTATTCAGCAATTCTGTCTGCCACAGCTGTTGTTCCTGAAAGCACTCTCAGAATTCAACATAGAACCTGTACCTCCTCCTCTCCATGTCCTTTCTTTCTCCAAAACCCTTTCTGCTGTACTCATTAGAAAGATTAAAACACATAAAGTAGCATTTTCATTATACAACAATGGGTGCAGATTGCAATTAATAACTGAAAGGGCTCCTTTATTATTATAAAAAGGGTGACTGTCCTGGCAGAGAACAGTCACACCATGAAACTAACTTACAGATTAATGGGCACCTTGTTACAGTTACGTGGATAACTGTAAACAATAAAAAGACGCAATCCCAACTTGGATGTAATGCACAAAGAGCCCGCTGGAGGGCCTAGCGACCCCTCCCATAGGGGGTGAGGATAGGGTCCACTCTAGCGCAAAGCTGAGTTGGGAGTGATATGGCCTCAGGATCCATTCCACCCACACACCAAGAATCTCTCCTCCTCATGGTGTTACACCAGTTTGCAAGTCATTAGACCAGGGAGAGAGTGAGAAAGTATTAACTGAAAAATTAATAGGAAACCAAAGAACCTTTCAATCAGGGAACCATAAGAATAAGGCAGATTCACAGGGACTTTGCCTAAATCAGCCATAGTCAGAAAGCTTGAGACACACTTCTAAAGACCCCTAAATCCAACCCAAAGATAGTATGTCTTGAAGACAATAAAAAATTACAAGACAAATTCCTTCCACTTCCAGCTACCTACAATGAAATGGCAAGTTGGAAAAAATACTAAGGCCTCCAATATAGTACACAGATACACCTATAGTACAAACTTGGAGACGCAGCCCAGGATTTTGGTGGATTAGCTAACCTTAGTTAAGGTTTCTCCAGCTATAAAGTTTATGGTACACTGGATTCTCAAGATTAGTAGCTTTTTTTGACATCAGTTGCACACTTACAAAAATAAGGGAAAGGCGATGAGTCAGTAGCAAATGTTTTCATTTTAAAACAACCAAAATCTAAACCACCTGTTTTGGTAAGTACTTTGGTATGGTACAACTTTCAGCAGGGAACTATGCACAAAATTCAATAAATGTAATTAATAACTATGTAGACTGCACTGTGTGCCCAAAGGAGCTATTTGTCCCGGGACTGTTTTAACGCCTATAGCCAGCAGGATGAAATTGACCTTTTAGCAAAAACCATTCATTCCATTAACTCAGTTGAAACCATAAAGGCACTTCCAATCAAGCTGGAGCCCCGTGAAAATCTAACAAGTGATGTTTTCAATTCCTAAAATGAAACAGGCAGCAACTACAACAACCAGGCACGTTTTGGCTGGAAATACTGTACATTCAAGCAACTATCTCACATAGTTTTGAAATAGAGGGTTATCGAGAATGCTGATTAATTTAAATCGCTGAAATAAACCAAAGTGAGTGTTCGGTGTTAATATGTAATCTATCTGGATTTACTGCAAACTCTCTGGGTGAAACATAATAAGCTAGAGACAGAAAAAAAAAAGATTTTCTCCCTCTGGAATGATCAAAGTGTGTGTTTCTAACATATTCTTTGGGGGAAGTGATTGGAAGTGTTCTGAAATAACATGAAGATTCCCAATCGCAGCTAATCTAAATCTGTTCACTGCAAATGGAAAAAAATCCCGAAGGATTTTGATTAAAAACCCATTGCGATCGTTTTCTCCAAATTTATCTGGAGGAAACTAGCCTGATAAAGGCTTAAAAAAAAAAGTAACCTCTTCCAAGCAAGATCGATTATCTCATTCAAGCAGTGGAGCAGTCTCCAGAACTACATGACACGCGGCCAAATTCTGAAAACAGGACGACTTTAAGGGTGAAGAGGCACTTTGTGGCGACAGAAGCCCCTGAGGGGCTGCATGCACCCTTACAGTCGACGCCCGTTCAGTTCCGCCAAGGGTCCGCAACAAGAGTCACACGCAAGGGGACATTGGGTGAAGTTTTATGCTATAGGCGGCCGGCAAATCTGCAGCAAGCTTGAATCAGGTTTCATCCCAACTTTCAAAAGCACAGACAACCTCCCGCTCCCCATGGCTCCCCATCCTCGCCCATCCGACCAGGAGGGTCCAGGAGTGAGGCGAGCTGCAGCGAGAGGCAGGCGCGGCGATCGTGGGAAAGGCTAGCCGCCGCGCGCCCCGGCTGAGGGCAAACTCGCGCCTCTCCGCGCCCGGGACGCCCAGAGTCTGTTCCGCCGCCCGCACATCCCAGCAGCGGCGCGTGGGTCGCCACGAGCGCGCGGGCATCCACCACCGCCCACCCCCCCGCGGCAG